GACTAGCAATGATACAACTAATAATAAAAAATATAATATAAAGATCTGTGAATGAATAGGAAAAGATACGTTTTGTTTTAGAGACAGTAGACAATCAGAATCTGACATTAGGATTCAGAAATTGCCTGTTTTCAATGCAAAGCAATCGCAACAGGCTATTAACTATAAAGTGAAGTATCACAATGCAGACAAGAACACAGATGTGCAATCACAGCAGAATTTTTTAAAGTTTAAAATGGGTAATAACAGAGCAGGTGATTGCTCAGGTTAGTAATAATATAGATGAGTAGTAGTGCAAAGGATTGTTCAGATGAGTAATGAATAGTAAGTAACAGTACAAATGATTGTGCAGGCAGCAGGTGTGTAAACACTTATTGTGATTTTTGGGCGTGGTGCTGGTTATAGAGTCTGACAGCAGCTGGGAGGAAGGATCTACGATAACGCTCTTACCTAGGGTGCAGCAGTCTGTCGCTGAAGGAGCTCTCCAGTTCAGTCACAGCTTCGTGCATGGGGTGAGAGACCTTCATCAGTGATGTGAATAAAACTTTCAGATTGTAATACTTGAATGTACATCTGCTTATGAACTGGAGTCAGCTTGATTTAAGTGAGCGCCTGAGCTAATCAACCTCAATCAGCTGGCCACACCCATTCTCACCTGCTCCCAGGTGTTTCCACTTCCTCCTCAGCTTCTGTCTAAATATTCAGTCAACCCCAGCAGCTTTCAGTCTCCCTCGCCTTCCAGAGGATTCTCCTCATGTGCATTTTGAATTTTCGTCAAGTGTGTTTGAAAGTCCTGTTTGCTGTCACCGCAGCCTTTTCACTTGTTTTGTAATAAATATTTTGAGCTCCTCCAGTCCAGTCTGCGTCTTTTGGTCCAAACCTCCTACCAGCAGTGACACGAAGTCCGAACAGCCAACATTACATTTGTCTTTGAAAGTTCGAAACTGAAAATCTTTTCTTTGATATTATTGATAGTCTTAGCTTTGAGTTTAATTATTTGCCAACATGTTGCCGCTTTTAGCTAGCTTTGCTACTTTTACCATAGCCTTTTGTCTAAGCTTTAATTAGCCTTTTGCTGCATTTCCTTTCTAGTTAGCCCTTCTGATTTTCTTATGCTGTAGGCAGGCTTTTATTGCTTTTAGATAGCATTTAGCTTTCATCCAGATTTGAGCTTCATTTAGCTTTTAGCCAGTGCTCTGCTTCTTTCAGTTTGAATAATTCTGTTTCAGCTTCACATAAAATAGATTTACTTATGTAGCTTTTTAGGCTAAACTGTAAATAAAAAACATTTAGATGTTTTTGTTTTGACAAAATTCACTTCTGTTTGTATAGATCAAGTGAACCAACATCAGTAAATAATGATATCATTGAACATTGCTTGAAGGCACCAATGCTTTTAAAAGCAGAAACTAAAGCTGTTGCAGAGAGATCCAGCGGAGCCTGGCTGCATCACGAAGATCTGCAAAATAATTGAATGTTTGGCTCAGTTTTTGTCACTCATCACAGACATGAAAGAGCGTGTTAGGAGAAGCAAAGCCTGTGTGTATTTTTTTTTATTTGCTAAATGACAACGAAAATACTGTATATCCCATATAAAACAAAGAATTAATTTCATAATTAGATATCAAATGAGTTATGGCATAAAAAATTCAATAGTTAAACTTCCTTTTAAACATTTATTTCCCCTATTTTTAACAGTTTAAATGCAAACATCAACCATGTTATAGACAGGAATGAGAAAATTAAAAAAGAAAGCTTACATGTATGAAATATGAACCTCAGGAGGTTTAACATTAGTTTCAGAAGGTGTACCAGCTTCTTCTGACTGACACACACACACACACACACACACACACACACACACACTTCTTTTTCCCCCTGCAGCTCAAACATCTTGTGTGTAAATGCAAAGACCCTGTGCTCTGTGGGTAAATACTCTGGAAGGGCAGGCTGTATTCTAATATCCACAGTATTGTCCTCATTTCCTCTTCTCATAACATAAGGCTGTTGACTTTTCATTTTATAGAAGGCTGTGAACTCGTGCTTTCTTTTCAGCCTCTTTTATAGGACCAGTGTAGATTCACAGTGCTGAATGATGAGCAAATAAATAAAATTTAAAAACACCACTTAGGGCTACTTTCCAGGCTATTTCCTTGAAAATAACTTTTCTGAGTTGACTAAAAATGAGTGATGGATGGAGGCTCTGGTTTGTTTTTTCACTCATAAATAATCTTCTTTATCCAAGAGATTTTGCCGTCTGCATGAATGTACAGAAACGTATTTGCTTATAATAAACACAAATGTTAGACCCTTTGAATCCAGCAGACTGTTATAATTACTTGGCCATTTTTATGAGATCTGTCCTCCTCTTTCCTGTTTTCCTCCTCCCCCTTTAACGATTTCTCTGTCACCTTCAGTCTCACCTTTTGTGTCCACCTCCCGTTCTCAAAGACTTTCTTTTGCTGTCCTTTTTGTCATTGGCAGCCGTGACCTCCACGTCCTCCCCCCCGCCCCCCAACTTTGGCTGGAGGTCAATTAGTCACCGCGCAGGAGCTGCGCCGGGCGTCCCTTGTGAATCTCCCCCCGACAACCACGGGCCAGAAAAAAATGAGTCAATTACCACGATGGTGCCAGGTGATGGATTTCTTGCTCACGAGTGGAGTGCAGGTAAAATAAAAAATAAATAAATAAAATCCAGGCAAGGTGACTCTCCCCGCCAAGGCCTCTTTAGCAGCCGTGCGTGCTAACACACAGACTCCCGTGAGGGAGGGGGGAAAAAAATAGCAGCAACGGTTTTCGTGTCAGACTTGTTTGCTTGTTGTTGTGCATCCTGTAAACCTGGAAGACCTTGAGGTGTGAATTCCACAATAAGACGCTCCCTGGTGGGGTTTACTGTTTGAATTACAGCTATTAAACCAGTAAAAACAGAGGAGGCTGTAAAAATGTAAAAAAAATCCAAACAACTGTGTGTACATTCAGTACAGTCAACTTTATTATAGCACACTGCTTTAGGTGGAGCAAATTTTTGTTTGTTTGTGCTATTGGGTTAACTGGAAAGTCGCTGGTTTGGTTCCCCATTCCAGAAGTCTCAGTCATTGTGTCCCTGGACAAGACACTTCACCTACCTGATGGTGGTCAGAGGGTGGTGCCGGTGCATGGCAGCCTCGCTTCTGTCAGTGTGTCCCAGGGCAGCTGTGGCTACAATGTAGCTTACTACCATCAGTGTGTGAATGTGTGTATGAATGGGTGACTGTAAGTGTAAAGCGCTTTGGGGTCCAGAGGGACTTGATAAAGCACTATATAAGTTCAGTCCATTACCATATTAGCAAAATATCTGTACAACTGCAAATGAACTTTTAGTCAATTTGATTCAAGATAAAAAATAAATTAATGAATTGATTCAAGATGGCTTCCACAATAAAACAAAAGCAGCAAACACAAAAATGAAAATAACTCAATCCCTTTTACAGGTGCTGAGCTCAGATTTGTTGTAGTAGTAAATGGCAAATGGACAAAAGAATAAGTAGTTTCTTTTACCTTTTTAAAATTAGTTTATTTTGCTGCAACAAATCCTTACTTTGACTAACTTGGTCAATTTAAAAAATATTGAACAAAGATTTGGTTTGTAGAAGCTGAGCAATGTGTAAAATGCTCAATTTATTCAACACAGTTTGATGGAACCAGTTTGGTTAACTAAATTCAACACTTCGTTTCTTAGAGTGTGTGGAAATACTTTAACTTTTACCTTCCCAATTATTATTGTGAGCAGTTTTATGACTTTTACTTATGTACAATTCTTATCAGTGAATTTATTTTTCGCTAAAATCATTTTATTTTTACTTTTTACTTTTACTAAGTACTTTATACAGTATACCTCTGAACACAACACATCTTTGCCTAAAATTTAGGCTTTTACTGTTGCATTTAACCACTGCATGGATTTTAGTGCAACCCTTTGAAGGTAATAGTTGGCTGGACATTTACACCTACTGTCCTGTTCATGTTTCATCCAGTCAACTTCACTCAAGTAAAGATGGCCGCCACAGACAAATGCACATCAGCCATTTATGCAGTTACTGAGTTTATAATTTAGTGTGGTAGTATGAGAGTCATTCACAACAGATAACCCAAGTGCAGAAATATTTTCAGAGTGGCCATACCTCTGTTGTGTCTAAAAATCAGATGATAAAACATGCTTGAAAGGCAGTGAACAACATGCACTCCTTTAAGGAATACCAGGCCTTGATTTTCAACACTGCTGTTTAGAACAATATGATTCTGATCCGCATAGAAGACTCCTGTCTGGTGTTAAAACTGACTCTAAACCTGGGGGGTGTGCGATCGCAGTGCAGTATCACCTTTCGCAGCACATTTCGCACTACCCACCAGTGAGGTGGCATCTGCAGAGCTCAAGGCGGGATGGCAGCCACGCAGAAACCAAGCTGTTAGGCCTGCTGTCTCCTAATCCACTCGTGTGGCAGCACAGTTTGTGACCCCCCCCCCCCCCCCCGCCCCCGACCATAAGCAGCACTTCAGGTCAACAGAAATGGTCGATACATGTGGTCAGAACATGTGGTTAGGACAACAGTTGCGTTGGACCGTAACTAACCTGACCGTATAGTTCATCCTTTTGTTTGTCTCTACGTTTGAAGCAGTGTGTTATTTTCTTTCGGAGCGTGTTGCCAGGAGACTTGGCTGCATCTATAGGAGACAGGTGAGACATGCAGAGGGAACAGGCAGGTTTTTGGAACTGCCCCCCACCCCTCTCTCTGGAAGTTTGGACCATCAATGTGTCTGTCTTAACACCAGCGTGCGTCAGCTGTCCCCAGCATGCAGAAGCATTGGAGTGTACAGCTCCAGGCTGCTGCTCCTTTTGCCTTCCACTGTTTCCCGCTCGCTCCTGCGCCGTCCAAGCAGGACAGACGTGGCACGGGCAGGAGACGAGCGCCACACGCCTCTGGCTTGGTCACACGGCTCTTTGTTTTATTCAAAAACTAACCCATTCGCAGCTTTTTCTCAAGAAATCAGCATTTAACTAATAATAAATCTGTTTAATCATATGAACGAGACAGTCTTGAGTTTTTGTTATTGCTGAAAAGCAACGGTTGACAATACCGTGTGTGTGTGTGTGTGTGTGTGTGTGTGTGTGTG